ATATTTCATTTAGTTTATTCATTTGTTTCTTATAGTTTCATTCTTCTGTTTCATCGAAGAAATCTTGTTTATTTTCTTTACTCTCAATTTATCTTTTTTTTTCTGTCATGTGAAAGTCAAAACGAAACAATGTTTTTGACCTTGAACAGAAAGTTATTGTGTAGTTTGTAAAGCGTAACAACTTAATATTTATATATAAATAGGCAGGGATATATATATATATATAGAGCGATTCAGAAAAGAAAAATGCTGTGATTGCTTTGAGCAAATACAACTGATAAACACTAAAATAAAATCATATAAATTTCGACATAGAGGTCAACAAGAATTAGGGATATAATAGTAATAAAACTATTCAAATGCAATGCTCGGCCATTTATTATTGCTTGTATTCGTAAGATAGAAACAGTTGATGGCTATAATGTTGCTATGACAAGAAACTATGTTATACATAGACCTTACCATAACAATTATTTTCATTTGTGGTCTCAGATAAAAGCTACGTATTGACTGTACATTGTGAGTCGTTTGGTTAAAAGTCCAGACAAACTATTGTATATATCTACTTCTTGAAGGTCATTAGGAAAATATTGTTGAAGAATTCAGTTTTTTAGATAACTTATCATAAAAAGAAATATCAAAATGCATAGTCTAATCACCTTCTTTGTAAAAGTAAGAAAGGAACATCAAGGCAAGTATACTATTTTATAGCCACAATACCGACACTCACACACTAACCATTCGATCTAACAGTCCATACTCCTCTGTACCTGAAAGATTTTAAGATTTCGAATCATTCGTTTACAGCTACCAGAAAAGAGACGTACAAAAAACGAAAAAAAAAGTTAATAGCGAAGAGAGAATTGCAAAATGTGTTGTCTTTTCTGTTCGATTTATCGTATCGCTCTTCCGACTTACTATTATTTATCAATATTATATTACTCTTTTTTTTATCTAAAGCAAATATTTTCGAAAAGATTTATTTAAATTACACTTTTTAGTCAATATTTTACAAGTATTCAAAAGTACTAGGTTTTTTTTATTGCACAGCAAAAGATAACTTCTTTTCTCTATACAACTTCGATAATATTTTTTTTTCAAGTGGGCTTCTCATGATGATCACGCTGAAAAAACTCCATAAAAGGCAATATTTGCTTTTCTTCAATCGAAAAAAATCCGATTACATACATATCTAGTATATATAAATATATGATGATTAAGTTTTGCATAGCTACAATATTAGTATTTGGTATTTGTATAAGATTCAACAACGATGGCTACAGCTACATCCAATCAAAACCTCGATTATCCGACAATCGTTCGAAAATTTATGGATCCCAACTTTTTAGATGATATTGTGAAGAAAGTGAGCGGTATGTTGGATAAAATGCAGGTTATCGACAGATATTTATTCAGAGAATATGCCGATTTTATAAGAGATGTGAAAAAGTTTAAAGAATCATTATTAAAATTTATTCTTGAATCAAAAATTCAATTGTCTTTTCTGAAAGATAATTTCCAAAAACCAAACTATAAACAAGCAGATAAACATCGAAAATTAGAATTTATCAAAAACCGATTGGATAGAATACAAAAAGAGACATTATTTGATCACTTGGTCGCATGTAAACAATTAATACAAAGATCAATTGAACTGCATGAGCAATATGGAACAAAACTATTTCAAGTTAAGTATGTTGTTTTGAACATCTTGGGTTTCACAATCGCTGGAGCAATAGCTGGGTTCACTATTGGTTTGATTTTATCGTGTATAGGACCACTTGGAGTCGGTATTGGTGCAGGGATCGGCGCATTGAGTGGCTTAGCTTATATTACATACGATTTTATTTTTAAATGGAAAGATCGGAAGAAGAAGATTGAAGTTATAAAAGAAAATTTAATAGAAACACAACGTGCTTTAGAATGTGTACTGGAAAATATGAAATCAACTTACCTAAATTTAGGACAGGCTAAAGATGAACTACAGAACCAATCTACGAACGACTCATTTCAAGAAATCGATGATTTAGAAAATTATGTGCTAGCAGCATTAGATTTGTTCGATAGGCTAGAAGGAGTTTTATTAAAAGTTAAGACTGATAAAAAAAAATACAAATTTTATATTTAGAAATAAATCAAGAACGTATATTACGTATTTTATATTTATGAAAGACTATTTTTATAATTAATTTTACATAAATAATAAAATCTTGAAAATGATTTTTTAGGGAAGTTCTCAAAGTTTCTTAGAAAGTTCACAGCTACGATATGTTTTAACCTTGAGGATGTATCAAACATTGACTTATTTGTTCACGAAAAAGGCCAGTGTCAACGTTCTTGAGATAAATTTAGCACACCATAATTAGTTTTAATCAGGCTTCGTAGCGATCTGTTCCGGATATATAGGAAAATATAGGATTTCAAAAGTGGCATTTTTATAGGATTTCGATAAAAATATAGGAAACATATAGGGCGTTTTTTTCTTCAGTAAGAGGCTTTTTTAGAGGTTCGCCATACATTACTGTATTCCTGAGGCCGTAAACAGCTTCGAGTCGAAGTTTTCAGGATATCAAAAACGAAAGCGTCTTTCAATTCCCAAATAAGAAATTTAACAAAGTGTACTGCAAAAAAATAATTAAATCTGTTTGATTAATTAATAACTTTGGACTGATATCTGTACAGAAAAAATAAAAATAAAAAATAGAAACAATAAATAGATGTGTATATATAAAGCTTGGAATTATTTCTATAAACAGATTGTATTATCTTTTTTTTCATGATTATTGCGATTTAACAAATTGAAAAACTGTACTAACAATTATACGCAAAACACATAAATGGACAACACGAAAAAATCTATTCTAATCAAAACTAGTGGCGAAATCAGATATTTCGGTATGCTGAAATTCATCTTTAGAGTACAGGATCCAAACGAAGCTTGCTGAAAGTTGATATTAGTTCCAAATGATGATTTTCTATCCAATCAATTTTTCGATAGGAGTTCGCGGAAAAAAATCAGCAGTTTCCTGAACCCTTTAGAAATCTTCGATACTGTTAGTAGTATCCGATTTTTGAAAATATCAAAGAAAGCTACGTCGAATTTCATGGACAGATTTCAAATTTCATCTCAAAATATTGGTTTCTCCAGGATTTATAACGTTTTGAAGTTTTGCTACATTTTCAAAAATTTATTTCCGAAGTTTGATATGTTATAAATTCTGAACAAATCAATATTTTTAGATGAAATTTTAAATCTGTCGATCAAATTGGATGTAGCTTTCTGTAACATTTTCGAAAATCGAACACGGCTAACAATATAAAAGATTTCTAAAAGGTTAACGACCGAAGTGTCCATGGCCGCTTGGTAGCGGTAGTTTTTTTTAAAACAATCATCGCGGCGCGCTAGCTTTTTTCTTTTATCGTCACGGCACGGCAGCGGTTAGTTTTCAACCGCGATCGACATCTCTGGTTCAGGAGAATAGTCATTTTTTCGCAAAGTTCCATCGAAAACATCTTTTAATAGAAACTCATAATTTAGAACTAACATCAATTTCCATCAAGTTTCATCTGGACCTTACGCGCGAAAGTTTAGCAGATCGAAGCATAAGTTCTGCACGTTTTTTTGTGTTTTAGGCAAATTTAAGCCCTTATATCTCATGATTGGAATGTGGTGGAAGTCTGAAATTTTTTTGTGTAGATTGAAATCATAGAGATCTATCTAAACTAAAAGCTTCAGGCCTTCATTACCTTCCAATCACGAAACACAAGGACATAAATTTGCCTAAAACACAAAAAAGGCACAGAACTTATCCTCCTATCTGATAGCTTTCGCATACCAGAAAATCCTGGTTCCATTGCTAAACCGATCCTTACAGTAAATGTACCAATACACAATAAAATATGTATACACTAGCGCTAGTTGCTATTTGTTTTATAGAAATTACGGCAATGTATAGCGAAGCATGTGTGTTTTTCTTTTTTGTGATTGAAATGTATTTCATTTTAAATTAATCTTGGCTTTTTTCAAATATATAGGAAATATAGGAAAATTCCTTAAAAAATAGGACAATATAGGACAATTTCTAAAGATATAGGAATTATAGGAAATATAGGACGACTACGAAGCCTGGTTTTAATCTTAACCACTAAAATTTAAGATATAATTTTTTTATTCTAACAATTTTGACATTCATGAATACTATTGAATAAGACGAACTTTCAATAAAGAGCTCTAAATAATATTAAATATTTATGAATTGTTAATCACATTACACAGTTCGCGTGAAATAGAGTTTATTACGAGATAAAAATTCTCATTAAATAAATGATCATATTTCTATACTTTGAACTCAATAATATGAAAATTCTTTTATCATTACTTGTACCTGATAGAATAAATTGAGTTTATGAACATAAAATTATAAACCATACGTCTCTATTTTATTTTCTAAAATCATCTATTCGCTTTTTTGTTTAAAATAAATATCATTAGAAAAAAAAGAACATTATTTATTATATGTTTGCATTCCTTCTACAATCCAATCAATAACATTTTCGGGATTTAAATTTGGTTCATGTTGAAAAAGTTGATAAAGAAAATTTGGTAAACATGAACGAAGTATTGAAAGTTGTTCAAGTGTTATATTTGATATTAATCTTATTAAAATACATTCAGTTATATCACATATAAAATTAGGTAATTCAATAATTTCTTGAGTTAACGGATAATAATAAAATTTTCTATTCATTTATAAAAAAAACAAAAGTGCGCATTTAATACAATTCGTCTTTTTTGTTTATTTGAGAATGAAAAAAAAACGAACGGGAATATTTTAATGGTGTCTTTTTCTCTCTTATATCCAAATATCAACATTAAAAAAAATCATGGACAAAATGCTTTATTTTTCTAATAATAGTCTATAAGGGTTATATCGTTAGCACATACAGAGCGAGAGAAACATTCAGTAGAAAAAATAAAGAGAACATTTGGTTGATTTATCCTAACGTTCAGCAGCAAGTTTTTCAGCACGAGCAGATACATCTTCAATACCACCAACCATATAGAAAGCTCCTTCGGGTAAATGATCTAATTCACCTATAATAATAAAAACAAAACAATAAAAAAATTCATCGAAATTGAATTTTCTTATCATTCAAAACCATTTTAAATCCTTTGATTGTTTCTTTAAGTGGTACTAATTTACCAGGTGTACCAGTAAAGACTTCAGCAACTTTTAGAAAAAAGAATTATTTCAAAAAAAAATATTTTATTTAATTATATTAAACGAACTTGAAAAGGTTGAGATAGAAAACGTTGAATTTTACGAGCACGAGCAACAGTTAATTTATCATCATCAGATAATTCATCCATACCCAATATAGCTATAATATCTTGTAATGATTTGTAATCCTAAAATTGTCGACAAAAATTATGTTTAATTAAATTTACAAAAACAAAAGAATTTAAAAAAATAAATTAAGTTTTTATCGTAATTTTACTTTTGCACATCGACTACACTTGTATAGTTATTGAAATAAACATAATACAAGCTCTAGCGTGTGCGATTAATATTTTATTTTAACAAACAAAAATCTTACTTGAAGTGTTTTTTGAATACTACGTGCAACTGAATAATGTTCTTCACCGACAATATTTGGATCAAGAATACGTGATGTTGAATCTAATGGATCTACAGCTGGATAAATACCTAATTCAGCAATACTACGAGATAAGACAGTTGTAGCATCTAAATGTGCAAATGTTGTAGCTGGAGCTGGATCTGTTAAATCATCAGCTGGTACATAAATAGCCTAAATATTAA